GTCGTCGCTATTTATCAATACATCGATTAGGATCATTCGATAAAGATTCAACTATCGACCTGAAATTGCACGAGGGCAACAATATATCTCCGGGAAAGCACGAAATCAAAACACATTGTCTTTGTAATTTGTGTTGATCTTTAACGTGATTGAAACGCATATTTTTCTCACCCTCTTCTTTCTTTCATATTTTCAGTTCAAATAAACAATACTTGCTGAAAAGTACGTTATCTGCCATAGGGGGAAACATTTATCTTAAAACTGTAGAGCAGAAACCACAAAACTTTGGGAAATGTTAAGAGATATGAGGGATTTTGGTACATCAGCAAACAACAAGCAAAATATCTAAGAATTGAGCGTATCTCTGATTGATCCCCGGGAAAAAATGTTGATTTTATATTTGTTTTTAGAAATTCTCCATGTATTAAATTCCTTTTCCGATTAAAATTTTCCGTCACTGTTAGAAAATATCACAGTTATATTGCGTTATTGGGAGAGTGCTTTACAGTACTTTAGCGGGGACATCATGTCGTCTCCTTCCGGTCGAAGTATCACAAGCGCCATGCGACGTTTAAAAATTTCCGCCGCCATTTTATATTTTTCAGAAAAATTATTCAACAAAGCTTTCCGAAAATCTCACTGAATTTTCCTCGTTCTACCGATGAAATTCAGTGAAATTTCCAAACAGATTCAACCAACAATTTCCCTGTAAAAAAAAATAAAAGGGCGGCGGAAATTTTGAAACGTCGCAAGGCGCTTGCGATACTTCGGCCGGAAGGTGACGCTGAACGTAGAAGGCGCGGGAAGGCGAAACATAGAAGAGAGCTCGGGAGAAGTAAGTCAGTGAACTTGGTGACCCTGCTCCACGAGGAGGGTCCACCGCTCCGGGTCCCTCGTCTCCACCACCCCCCCCCCCCCCCCCCCNGGCTCGGGGATGCTCAGCTCGAGCCAGGCCAGGAAGAGGAGGAAGCGCCAATCCCGAGGGTGGAGGCGCTCGACAGCGACGAAGGAGGAGGAAGCTGGAAGACCGCGATCCCGAAGAACAAAAAATCAGGGACAATAATGAGACGGGCCTCGCGAGGAAAGGAGAGGAGAATGAAAGTGCGTGCGCGGGACTCGTCTGGACTCGAAACACTCGACGTCGTCCCTCCGAGCCCTATCTCCATCCCCACATGAGCCCTGTTATCCATAAAGCTCCCTCCTCGCCAGGGCTCATCTTGGAACGGAGATACGCCTCTTCAGAGGTGCGACGAAAATAGTGGACCCGGAGTCTGCGCTTCCCCCTTCTCACGGTTCCCGCCCCGAGGGTCGATTCTCGAATCGCTATCGAATAATTCGACAAATAGCAGTGGCGTGGCGTGCTTTGCGATATATCGATTGATCGGCCATTTAAACCTATGGGAAAGTATCAATAAGCAGGGTGTTCGCAGCGAACACCGTAATAATCGATTATTTACCACACCTTCAAATGGGGATACATCGATATATCGCAAAGCACACCACGCCACTGATAAATAGCATATAATTATCGAATGATTTGATCAAAAACATGGTTGAGATAGGGGCGTATCGATGGGGACTCAAATGATTCGATAAATAGCATCGTCGAGATGGGGATGTATCGATTCACGATTCGATAATCGACCCGGGTGTCCCTTGTCACGCTCCCTCTTCCTGTCTAACTTTGATCCGTATCCGCTTACATCCGAACTTGGCGCCAAATTCAAACGCCGTCGGCCGGAAGGAGTCCACGCCCGGATCGGCGTTCACCGCCCGCGTTCGCGTGTTGTGAAATATATATAACGACAGTAAACTGTGAAAACGGATTTGCGATGTTGCAGACTTTCCATCAATCTTTATTTGTGAACATTTTTGGATCCAGCATCAGGGCCGGATTTACTTACTTGCCGCCCATGGGCCGCCTGTATTTTGCCGCCCCCTTCTCATTCGTTTCGAAACATCGATAAAAACCATCAAGTGAACGTGCCGGAGAGGGAGGGGTGCATATGACGTGTTTACTCGTGTTGGACATATTTTTTTGCGAGTGTCCTGTCAACACTATTAGCAAAAGTTCACGGGACTTTGCGCGAAAGTTAAGTTCCATAAACATATCTCTGTGTGGACAAGGCCTTCCATTTATAAGAAATGAACGAAACAATTATGAAAGAACGAACATAAATGCGGTTTAATAATTTTGACTTCCGCCGCCGCGCCGCGCTGACCGCACTGTGTTTGACGCAATGCGTGAAGTATTCATGCAGTCTTGTAGGCGCTATGCGTTTCACGCCGCCCGCCGCTGATCGCAGCGACCGCACTGTCTTTGACGCAATGCGTGAAGTATTCATGCAGTCTTGTAGGCGTTAATAAGTGTTACATGCCGACCGCCGCGCCGCGCCGAGGATTTCTCCTTTTCATCTCAAGTTCTCGTCATCATTGCTCTCTGCGCCGCGCCGTTCCAGGCCAAATTCCGTATTCGGTTTCTCTCTTAGTCTTAACTCGACTAATAATTAAAGGTGCTGTTTATTGTATCACAGAAAGACGACAAAATTAGAGATATACTTTTAGGAAATGAATTTGCACTTTAGATAGCACATAGATTTGCACTTTTTAGAGGGGTCTATGATGATTGCACCACGAAAAGGAGAAAACGACGAAGTTTAGGAAGGAACAGAAATAAAGAAGTAGAAATTATTTCTGAATGAGCAATATTTTAACATCTTCCTTTCATATTTGTGTGTTCATTTTTCCTTACCCGTCTCTGTACATTATGTCTGTCTCTTTGCTTTGTGCACAAAGAAACTGCATTTGGGGGAGAGAGGTGAAGGGGTACAATGAAATAAACTGCTCTCCTATGCCTCCCCCACGATAAATGCATACGATTCAACACTAGAGCATACAAGTCTCACAGAATGGGCACAATGCTTCAGACGATTCCGAAATATATCACAGTGCAGTAACGTCACTAGGGACTTATATTTGGACACGAATTGGCGGATTTCCCAAATATTTGCCACACGTACAATTAATGTATTCATGCATTTATCATGTCATTTCAAAATCTCAATTCGTATGGAAACTTACCAACCAATCTTTTGTGAGGTACATCTGTCATTTAAGGTTTCGGACACATTTGAATGAAATGATATGAAAACTATAATTTCCTCTTTGTTCGTATAAAAAGCAAGGATTATGCCCTTCAAAACTCGGGCAATCGACACAAAATGATTCGCTTAAATAAGTACATGATGATTATACTTAATTGGAAGCAACCGCCATATTCTTTTTTAACGTTATGGTTCTTTTACTCTTGTCCTTTAATAAACTGCATCAAACTTATGAACGTTTAAAAGCTTGAACTTCATATTTAAGCAGAACGTCAACAGATGCCTCTGAACGTATAGCCTATTAATCTCCTTTATTGGTTTATAATCAAATTTTGTATTTAGGAAGCAGTGCTCCACGCATCGACTCGAAAAAAATCCGATTCTTGTTTAATGTATAACCGCGCAGTCGTGTTTAACGTATCTTCGCTGATAAGGACGTCAGTATTGACAAATGCACCTGCGCCTTCAGAAACGAGAGAATAAAATCATCGAATAACCGAACCAGAAGTCAGGAGTGAGGCTGCGCAACTGAACAAATGTAGGAGTGAGCAAACAGTTGGAATCATGTAGGTGACACTTCTGCGCGCCGTCATTACTACGGCATTCAGTCGCAGAGTCCTCTGCACATACAGCGCTTTTTCCCACCGATTTCACCGATTCAAACAATATTTAAACATGCTTGAACGTCCTTGTGATGAACCTTGTCGTTTAAAATACCCATGGCAAAAATTCAGGAAGTAAAATGATATCAGTTCATAAAAAAATCAAGGTAATAGAGTTTTCTGTCATGAGGGGCGGGGATACACACATGACCAAATATTTCTCGTTGAAGCGTATTTTTTTTAAAGTTAATTTTTTTAAACATCGTCCAAAATCACTCCTTAGGGGCAAAGAGAGAAGGGTCAAGACTAGGGCCGGACTGGTACGGCTGATCATGATGAAAGGAATGCGTAAACACAGAGAAAAAAAGGGTGGTATCGAAAGCAGTGAAATTTCGGTGAATCTCATTCTGGGTAAAAATTACTACTTGCAAGAGAGATTCAGGCTCAGCCGAGAGAGACTCAAGGGCCCGGGCGGCTCCCTTTACATGTAAAAATTACTATAATGTAAATAAATTTTAATTGTTTCTTTGAATGAATTTATACTTTCATTCATTAATTTAGATATGTGTATTAATGAATTCTTAATCATACGAATACCTTGATCTACAAACACAGGACTATTCAAGGAATGTGATGTTTACACGTTGATTTCAAAATGATATGCAGCGAAATATCTCGCAAAAAATAAAACAAAATACGAGGTGAAGTCACCGCTTCTTGCCACGATTGTTTACTCGTCTTCTCGCTTTCTTGGTGACATTTGAGAGTGATACCCCTATTCGACCACGTGGGAACTCGGGTTGCCTACACTCAAAACTGAAGGCAAACCCACAGTGAGCTGAAGTCAGATCCACGACGTTTTTCAAGGTCTCCCCTAATAATTCTCGATGTTTCATGTTGTTAAACACATTAGTATCTCTTATGTTTTTTTTTTTTTTTTGCAAAAAATACGTCTTATGGTTAGAGATTTTTAAAATTCTGTTTAATTTTTAATAACTCAGATTTCGCAGTTTCACTGATGATGCGTTGCTAAATATAACTTGAATTACCTTAAACCGCGCGTTGAATAGATTTGGTATTTAAAGTCTTCGCGTCCGCTTTGGAAGCACATGAGGAGGGGGCTACTTCGGAATATTTTTCAATTTTAGAGGGTGTCAGTTCCATCATACAAGCGTAAAATACTCATTCGATACCTCGCAGGTTGTTTTTCTAAGTTTAACATTGATCACTATTGCAATACACCATTCCTTTGAACTTTGAACTTACTCATGTGCGTCTTTTATCTCTGTTCCAGCTTTCACGTTCCCCGGCCTAAGAGCTGGATATCCCACGGTGTTACCAGGACAATATGGGTGAGTTTTTCCCTTCATAAGATGACTAATCTTAACGAGTATTGAGTTTTTACGGCAAAAACCTCATCAATCTAGGCCATCCATTTTCAAGCACCTATTATACACTTGAAACTTTTTCCGAAGGGTGCATGGTCTCTAGAATTGACTAGGATTTTATGCTTATAAAAACAAACTACTCTACCTGTTTATTTAATCTGTACCATTTCACATTTCTCAACATTAAATACGCCTTTCAATCAAATAATTATTTTTCCACTTCTCTCTTACACCTTTTTTTTTTAAATCTCTACTTCAATCTTCCATGTGGCACAATATACAGTGAATAATATTTCTGTTAGCCGTGCTAAATGATGAAAGTTTTCTATCAAAAATTCGCTTTTCAATCCACTTTCCAAGGACTGCTGCGTAATTTAACGTCTACACAATTTCGATGCAGCAATACAATGCATTCAATGAGCATGTATGACGTGAAAAATTACCTTTTAACGAGTGGAGGAAATTGAATTTTAGTAAACATCGTCATTAGCCCCTCCTCTAGTCATGTTTATGTCCCATTCACGTCCTATTTACGTCAATGAGTTTCTTTTCTCTCTTTAATTTATTTATTTTTACTCTTCTAAAAATAAATTTTACAAATATACATTGATTGGTATTCGGAAGTGTACTTGAAGAATTCATATATTTACTTGTTGTATAGAAGAGTTTCAAGTCATCTGGTTTTTAATGTTGAAATTTGTGACATGGCCTAACTCAGGTACCGTGAGAACCAACAATGACTAAACGTAAAAGAATGAAGTGCAATTTTAAAAATAAAAAAATCCAGAGGTACCAAAACCTTGTGTATCTATTTCAACAAATAAAATTTTGATTAAATTAAGATTTGATCGGATTTTTGTTGGAAAAATGAATTTAAGTGTAGGTCTCACTACATTATGTCAGAATGTGGCACAATTAAACAAAGTCAAGAACATTTAGCTCTTTAAATATCATAAACGATATAGCTAGATTCAAAGTAGCAGGATCAGTTAACGACCATTCAAAGAGGTATGAATGTACATTGATGGTTTGAGAATCACTTCTTTCTCAAAATCACCACGGAGTGAAAGATCACTAGCCTTCAATAAGTTGTGCAAGTTAAATCAGGATTTGCAGTTTAGTAACAGTTTACAAGATTTAAATCATTTCTAATTTTTTCTCGCGTGAATTAATTTTTGTTTAATTTCATAGCATTGTATGTATGGAGTGTGTCATCGTAGAAAAATATAAATTCATAAAACACTCTCCGTATCATTCGCCCATTGTAACTCAAGGCAGAAGCAAATTGAACAATGCAAATACATGAATCATTCACGTCGTTCCAAACTTTGAATAAAAACCAGTAATACCGCAATATTAGTTCATTTTACTGCACTAAACTTCTATACCAAACCACAAGTCGAAATCTTCAATTTTGAATGATGGTTGCCATCAATCAACTTTCCACATCTTTAATGGTCTTAACATTTAATTTTTGACCGGATCACGTAGCCTCTCTCTCTCCCCTCCCCCTTCTCTATTTGTCTACGATTTTAAATACCATGCAGATCAGCGAAAAGTATGAGGAAGGTCAATAAGACTCCAATTCCTGTCATAGTTTCCCATGTCCCCAATCAATTGATTCGATTTTTAATGCTCTCTCTGTAATATTTTATTTCACTGCGTAAAATTAGCTCATTGTCAGAGTCCCATGTCCTCATTAAAAAAAAAAAAAAAAAAAAAAAATTCTTTAGCAAATTAAACTAGTGAAAGGAAATTAGAATTGAGAAGCACTCAAATATCTGTAAGTTCACACCTCTTGAGTTTTACGTGTAAAACTCAAGAGAACTCATGTGCTCCAACGTTCGAACTCAAAGATAATTATTTTCGTTCTCGTTTTTGGTTTCTTAATGCAGAAAACTTAATTTTCTCAGGCTCTCCGTACCCGCGCCCCTATATTAATAAACTTGTTTTGGCAATAAATTTAAGTTTTTACAAGTTCGCACGAAACTTGGCCCAAAATCCGCACTTCCTCTGAAATGTGGTATTCCAGAAGAATTGTTGAATCATGAATGGGCAAAAATAGAACAATACCGGTTTTAAGAGCCTCGTTATTTCAATCTCCTCTGACGTAATGTATAGGGCAAAATCAAGTGTTCTTCTTTTCTATTGTTATGTCTAGGTATTTTTTTCACTATCTCTACTCGATTTTTACTGTATTTAAACTTATCCTTTACCTACTTAATGTAAAATGAAAAATCAACGCTATTACACTCTTCAGCTCTTGGCCTCTAAACATGAATCTCTAGACTGAATAAAGTACTGAAAATCAACAAAAGTCGTATTAATTTTGAGACCTTTTTAGTTGTTTTTTATCAAATCGCCACAGTCTCTCAAAACACGACTGTCATATTTAAAATTACTACCGCTGAAGCGACGAGAGAAGCTTTCCCGGTAAATTTGCCGGTAGATGTATTTCTAATTAATTATCAGAATGGGGGAAAAACAGAGTCAACAGTGTTGCCAATTACTTTCTTTGGATCCATCTGATAATGCTACGTTGTACTAATAGTTTAAAATAGGATGATCGGAGGAGGGGTGGAGAAGATTCGGCCAGAAATTTTTGAAAATACGAACCTAGGGGCGAATGATAAATGAAAATGTTGGATTACTTTATATTGCAGTCTGTGAGAAGACTTCAAAACTGGAAGATCGAAGTTTCCGGGATATACAACATATCTTCTTAAGAACCTGCTAAAATCCCAATATTATCGTCATTTAAATGCCGTTTTTATTCACCGCTATTGAGTCCACCAAATATTATTGTGAGTCACAACTCGCTGGATATTATTACATGAATTTTTTCGACACTCAACAGGGTCTAACCACTTTTCACAGCGCGCGATTTTTTATTCACGCACTACCCATTGCAAGGTGCAACTGTAAGTAAATATATGATTATAGCGTCGAACTCACACTTAAATTTTGGCAACGCTGTATCTTCTGTATTTCCTCCCTTCGATATTTTTTCTCGGACTGATATGCATTGAAAAATAATGTAAGAAATTACTTTGTTAAGTTGCATAAGTTTAAAACGGTTACCGTTCAAATGATGTTCACAGAGCAGAACATGGCTGAGAGGATAGACACCGCCCACCACTCGATAGCTAAATCCAATGTACGCCGAAAATAATTTACTGTTTGTGTTCTTTTGAGTGTGTGATATTTTGTTGATTTTTCTTTTTTTTAAAGTTCTTGGTTATTCATTAATCTTTTATTTTAATCTCTGTCATTTATTTTTTTTTCCTCTCTTTTTTTTATTCATTTTTTTTTTGTTTCTTCGCTAATATCTTATTCCTGCGGCCTTGTTCACATATTGTTGTCGTATTGATAATTTTTCACTTGCTTTTTAATTTCCGAAAATTATGGGCCTTAACAACATTCTGTCCCTAATATTTTTGATTAATTTGTATCCGTTTTACTTCGCGCAAACTTCTGCTAGTTCTTGAGATTTGCATGGATATTGGGACCCTTGAAAACATTTTGACTTTCCTTCTGAAATTCCGAAGAGAGAAAACACGTGGAAAAAATAAGAATAAAAATATGTAGATCAGTGTTTTTGCCTCAGTTGTTGCCTCAGCTGTGAACAAACCTATCCAAATAGAAGTAAATCACTCATTAAATATTTCATTTTACATTGCACCTCCTCTCTTTTATGTTTTTGGCACCATGAACGAATTGAAAAGGATTGAATATAAATGAACCGATTTTAGAGGTCTTATAAATAAATTTTATAATTTAATTTATATAACCCTTCACTTTTTCCCCCCTGTCGTTGAAAGTGCGTTATGAGTTCTTGGTTCTGAAATCATGGTAGATTTTGACTTAAATTTCTGTTGTAATTTTGTTTCGGTAATTAAATGTCAGTCAGACTTTTTTGTTGTTGCGGTAGGTGCCCGTAAGAAGGTGTGTTTTATTTCATACCATCCTATGGAAAACACGCACCGAATTAAGTGTGGTTTTTCTTACCATTTCACCATACTCTCAATGCTCTGTATATGCTCTGAGAGTGAGGTTATGTGACCAGGGATTACCCGCCCAACACGAAATATTGCAGCAATATTGCAGCAATATTGTCAATATTGAAACAATATTGTCATGTAAATATTTCCTTACATACACTGCAGAAATATGTTGACAATATTGCTAAAATATTTCATGACAATATTGTAACAATATATTTATGAAAATGTGTTAAATATATTTCCAAAATATATTTATGTAATTACTTTTAAAACAGTTTGTAAAATATATTTACAAAATATTTTAAAATTATTTTAAAAATATTAGTTTAAAAATATTTGTTTCATATTATGTTGAAAATATTTTATAAATATTTTTGTAATATTTAAAAATTAATTGCTAAAATGGCAAAAAATGGTTTGCGATTTCTGCAATTTGCTTTTTTTGCTAAAATGCCCACCCTCGTGGCGAGAACGACAAAACAATTTGCAAAAGTGGTAATTTTATTGTGCGAAAATGGCAAACTATACTTTTGCGAAATTAACATTACTAGTTTATGCTATTATGGCTAAAATTTTTGCTAGATTTTCAAAATGTTTGCCAAATTAGCGTATGGTTTTGCTCTGTTTACCAATTATTTTGCGGAACTTACTAAAATCAATCGCTAGAAAAAAGAAAGGGGGGGGGGAAGAAAAGACAAAAAGAAGGGAAAAAAATAAATAACATAACATAAATACATCGACATAAATTCAAACTAGGAAAAAGCTCAAATAATTAAAACTGGAAAAAGACGCAATTATAAAAAACAGTAATTCTGTAAAGAAAAAAATGAGAGAGAGTTAAAAAAAACGAAAATTTGTAATACATGAATAGGAATATGTTGAGTACAATTAATAAAGAATTTGAAACACAAATTACAGGATGAAATAAAAAATAATAAATAAATAATAAATAATAAATTCTGGTAAAATATTATAAGAATCCGTCAATAAACAAACATATTACGGACTCAGAGGCCTGCGATAGTTAAGAGATTGAATTTACGGGCCCATCTCCATCAAGTCTGGCTGGTCTGGTGGTAAAGTACTGGACTTCGGATATCAACTCCACCCCGAGGCGTGGGTTCTAATCCCGACTAGGACGGCACGGATTTTAAGGTCAGTAACAACTCTACGATCCTCAACCTGGACGCATGTGTACATTAGCAAGAAAATTAGTACCAAAGACGCCTCCTAGAGTGCGCGCACACGGATATGGAATATGATAACCTCATCGCAAGTAAATATTTTTAAAATATATTATCAATATTACCTTGACAATATTGCTGCAATATTGTCAGGGGGGCGGACAACAAACTATTGCAGCAATATTATTTCGATATTGTTAAAATATTGTTAAAATGTTTTTGACAATATTTCAGCAATATTTTTAAAATATTTCCGTGTTGGGCGGGTACGTATTTTCGCATTTCACTGTATTAACTGGAGGATTGTTTTTGTAACAAGTTAAGTTCTCCTAATCGGTCTTGGAGATGAAAAAACAGAGGAACGTTGAGTTTATAAGACTCTCTTGGTGAATCACCCTTTTCTTTTCGTTTTTTATTTTTCTCTTGCAGAAAAGTTCTTCTGTTCTTACTTTTATGCTCGAAAACACTCTATCCAAGCCGGAAACTTAAATTTTATCGGCTCACAATGAAGACGGGGAATTTCTACATTTTTTTTAATACACTTTAAATATTTTTTCAAAGAAAAAAATAGACTCATGAATGATATATTTTTACTAGATCCTCTTCAATAATACTATTAATAATAGCCTCCAGCTGGATGAGAGTGTATGAACGAGCAGTTTTTATTTATAAGGAAGATCTTCGTCATTTTGTTTGGTTTCTCGTTGGTTTTAGATTTAATACCCATGTTTGACAAATTTTTTGCCACTTTTCATTTGTTCGTTCATTTGGTTTATTTCACCCGGCCGTTTTTAGATATTGCAATCATGATTTCATAATCTTATTATTGTCGTTATTGTTTTGAAATGTGTCTCATGCTCATTTTGCATTTTGTGTGTGTTAACATACAACAATCCTTGTTACATATTCGAATCGAGGAATAATTTTTCCTACATCTTTGTCGTGTCCCCCAAATAGTTTCTCTTTACCCGCTGTTCTCTTTTCTGCACTCAATTACTCGAATCACACCATGTCCATAGGTCAGCTCTACTATACAGGAAAGGATATGTCTTCTTCCGTACTCGTCTGAGTAAAGAACAGTCTGGCTGTAAATTGGGAACTGACTGTTCACCCATAGGTTTTCGTCTCTCACCAATTTCTAAAATTCATGATCACGTGCCCTCACCAAGCATCGATACACACATTCAGAATGAAAATAATTCTTTAAGAGTTTGAGAACCCCCCCTCCCTCTATCATATTTGTGACGTCCTCACCTCACCTACTTTTTTTATTTTTTTTTTTAAATGTATTTTCTTCAAGAGAGAGAAAATTAATTGACCGTAAGATGGACTATATCATGAAAGAATGTAGGTACCTTCAGAGATTTGACCGCCCCTCTTCCCGCAAAAAATAACTACGCTGATGTGAACGCACATGGCTCATTACTATCGTCCGCTGGTTATTTAAATAATGTATGTGTCTGCGCTCCGTCACCGGACAAATTTATAATGCACTGGAGGACTAGACTACTTTAATGAAATGAATTGAGAAGCGTATAAGATCGTACATACGTATCAGCAAAATACCTACTCTTATAAGTTTGCTCTGAGAATATATTTTCTGGTTACACTTTTTTATTTAGTAAAATGTGTACATTAAAACCGCTTATTTTTATGCAAAACGTACAATATGTTCTATTTTTTACCTTTTCAGGTTACCTAACTTGGAATTAAAAAGGTAAATAGTTTATTTCTTAGCTTAGCGGCAATTTAAAGGTAATCTCTTATATACTCCTTTATTTTATTTCACATTTCAGTCTGTAGTTTTTCGTAGATTATTTAACTTTTCCTCCCTTTTCCATATCTTTTTCTCAATTTTCTCGACTTTATTTTAAACTAAATGCAGGAATCGTAACTGCATTTCCATTTTGTAATCATAGTTACTTGATTTTAGAGAAGAGAAAATAAATTGATTATTTCCTTCACTCATTCCATACAGTAAAAATGTATTCACCAGAGTGTATAGGGCAGAATTGTAAGGACATTTTAAAAAGCTGTGATATAACGACCTTATCCCTTCTTACTCGGTGCGAACTATTTTTTTTTATAATTTGCAAATGGCACCGAGAAACTTGAAACCGCCTCTGATAGGTAATTCAGAAATTTTACGAGTTTCTCTAAAGTTTATCTAGCTCCTATTTTCTTTCTTTTCTCACTCCCCTCTTTTTCTCATTTTTTCCCGGGAAGAGGTACAAGTATTAGTGAAATTTCCTACACCACGATCATATTCAACTTTCCGCACAAACTGTATACGCTCAAGAGATCTTATACGACCATGGAGAGAAATCTATGCTACATTAAACGGGCATCCTGCATCTTCAATGAAGCAGCGAATTTTCTCTTGCTCAAAAAAATGCTATAATAAAGAAAACTCTCATCATATCCGTCCGTAATCTTGACGATGTGTGCGATACGATTTTGCAGAATGTCTTGTTCGATAAACATAGCCGTTAAGCATTGTGTGGAGGAGTCAGTCGAGTTTGAAACAAGAGGGAGAAAACTAAAATCGTAAAGTTGAAACAATGAGGATATCCTGTGAAGCGGTTTTGATATTTTTTTCATAGAACAAGTGTACGAGCCTATAGCGTGGGTTTTGTTTGTCCATTCTGAGAGTACGGCGAAAGCTACTCGGGTTCGACATTCGACAGAGCGGAGGACCCAAGCCGCATTGGGGCCGCTGGTAACGCGTGAATCATCTCTTACCCCGTCTTCACCCCCCTCCATGGTCATCAACCCCTATGTAATTTCACGATATGCTTTAGAGCTCAGTTAGTCCCCTTCCATTTATTTCCACCCTCTTTCGCCCTTCGCCCGAAACTACCCTCCTATTCAGTTGACGTCAATGTGCAGGGGTAAACAAGGGTGCAGGAATGAGAATTTCTCGACCAGAATTCAAATTCTAATTCACATTCTAAATTTTACCATTTTCACTTTATACCTCTTTCTTTTTTCTTTTTCAATAATTATTCTTTTTTCCTTTTTTTAAAGTCATTGTTAAGTTCTTGTGTTTGGCTAATCATCCATCACGTGGCACGTTTGATGTGTGAATTTCGTTCACATTAATTGGTTTGCGGTCACCGTTTTTCTGTGTGTTACTGCTTTGTAGGCCTTTTATGAATTATTTTGTTTGTCGTAAATTCAGTGATTTTTTTCTTTTTTTTCTTTTCATTTTTGCAAAATCGATGTTTTTACTTTTATAAACTCCTTTTATTTATTTTTGCTACATCTCTTGCCCCCAGCCCCATTTCTTTCTCGTTTTTTTTTGGTTAGACGAGGTGCCTTATGAGGATGGCTGTTGTTGAGAGGGTGCGTTTGGACTGCGGGTCGACCCACCTACCACTGAACACTTCATTTTTATTTGTTATTTTTTTTTCACCCTCGTGCCTTTTACAATGGTTTCAGGGACATAATTACTACGGTGCAAATTTATTACGAAAAAGATGCACTGGGGATATAAAATTTATAAAGTTTTATTTTTACTCATCTTTACTCACTTTACTCACTTTACTCATCTTTCTCATTTTCACCTATCACAGCGAAATAATGATATATTTCGTTTGAAATTTAAAAATTCTTGAAAAATGTATACTTAACTCTGATTAATCTCGTTCGGGTCGAGTTTTGAGTATACGCAGTCTTACTCGTTCCATTGAAAATTACAATTATTTGTACCTCATCGTTGCTGGTAAGGAAGTTGTGTGCAGTTTCTGTCTCTCCATAGTAGTCTTTGATTATTATGAAATTTCTCGGGTTTTTTCATGGTCCTAATGAAGTCTGCTCAAGTTTATTTGTTGGTTTCTTCATTTATGTAATTGTGAATTTGGTTAATGTCTCAACGAGCCGTTGGGTCACAGAAACAGAAAAAAAATGAGAAAAAGAGAGGCAAATAATGCCTGACAATGTAGCATTAATCTATAGAAAAATTAATTTGGAACAGTAAAGTTTCAATGAATATTCTTCAAAGAAACTACAGTGCCGAGACTTGTCAACTGTATTGACTGCACCTCTCTGTCGCTGGAAGTTACCAACCTCAAGCAACTATTTTAACTTTCCGGAGATCAAATTGCATATCCGATGGACTGAAGGAACTGTATAAGTGTGAGTCCGAAAATCTCGAACCAGTTATCATAACGATGTTGTAGCGCCGCGCCGTTCTGTTTAAAGTTATTAACCAACGCACATCCCTTTCTTCTTTTTTTAAGAATAGCTGAGCCCGCAATAAATTGCATCTTCATAATACGATATTATTATAACTGCTGCCCGTTATAAATTACAAAGTTTGCCTCAAAATACGGCACGGATGCAATTCGTAAAACATTGTTTTAGGATTATCGTAGGTGATAGGGAGCGATACAAGTGAAATTTTCTTCAATTCGAGTTTCTGATGATCGATATAAGTATTATGCCCCAAGACACACACACACTCATCGTGATAAATGGACCGAGTTTAACAGAAAGGAACCAAGCCACGTCAGCTATTGCCAAGTTTAACTGGGCAGTAATTTTTTTTTACAAGAGAACGTTTGTTCGGATTTCCTTGAAAATTTTAAGGAATTTGCTTCGCACTATGGAGAATTTTCACTGAAATTTGCACGAAAATCCGCACAACCGTTTTCATGTAAAAAATTAAATTACCCAATTAAATTTGGCAATAGCTGATGTGGCTTGGTTCCTTTCTGCTTAACGCGGTCCAAATGTCAAAATCGGTCCAAATTATTAGGATTTTAATACACTGAAAAAGAAGTTACGGGTACTAAGACGTACCGTCCGTTCCGGGCTCAGAGGTCGAAAGTTTCAGGTTCAAGAGCCGTAGCTTTGAGAGCTCCGGGTGCTGCCCCCGGAACTTTTGGCCTCCGAGTCCGAAACGCGCACGGTATATATCTATATACCCCGTAAGTACGGCTTCAACGGCCGGAGTTTTTACTTTCTCGCTCCCTTAGGGTAGCGAGGAAGTATTGTCATCCTCCAAGAAAAAAAAGGGGAAAAAAGTTGAAATTTCATCATTTCTAGACGTTTCAAGATCCCTGGAGTCAAAATAACCATGCTTGTTTTTCATTGTACATATTGAATTCAATTTTTATGTATAAAAAAAGTCTTTCGTTTATTTTATATATTTTTTACATCAAGTACCACTGTCCTGATACATTAAAATTGGGTTGTAAAAGCTCAAAAAATATGTCGTGTCATGCTGCATCGCGTGGGAAAAACTCTAACTCGCCTTCATTTTTTCGCGTATATGCAAACACGCATCTTCGGAGTTAAAATAGTTGGCTGGAAACAGAGGGTGGATCTGGCTCGCGGGGATTGTTATTTAATAAACCCAGTTTCATGTTCCCCCACATATTACCCTTCCATATCATTAATTTGGTTTTTTTTTTCTTCTCCCTTTTCTCCTTCCTTCCGTTGTGTTCGGGGTGCCGCACCGATAGCCGATTGGACGAAGTGTAATTCACACTCTCGAAAAAGCCTCGTTTAGGATCAGACTGTAGAAGTGTAGACGTAGAGCTCTTGCTATTTGTCGGACAAGGTTGTATCAGGAATCTGGAGGAAGATAAGCAGAAGAAGAATGAATGAGAAAAGTAAAAAAGGAGGAAAAAAGGAAGTACAGGATAAAGGACGAGAAGGAAAAGTAAAAAAAAAGGAGAAGAAGTAGACCAGGAAAAAAAGGAGAAATGAAAGAAAATTAGAAAGAGGAATGAAAGAAAAAAGAGCAAGAAGAAGAATAATTTGAATAGAAAGAAAGCGTAGAAGAAGAGGAAAAATAAAAGGAAGAAAGAGTGAATTTGAAGGGAACCATCGAAAAGAGGGAAAGACAGATAAAAGAGAGGGAACGAGAAAATAGAATAGTAGAGAAGAAAAGGGAGATGAATAATAATAATAGGAAATGAAATGAAAGAGATAAAGAAGAGGTACAAGAATGAAAAGAGTAACAGAAGGGAAAGGAAAGAGTGGAAGATTAAGAATTTATTTTTCTTTGTCTTTTTCCTCCTCTTCCTCTTCTTCTCTCGCTTTTCTTCTCCCTCTCCTTCTCCTTTTTCCTTGTTTGTCCTCTCCTCCTTCCCTTATGCGCCTCATTCTCAGCGATGATAGAAAATCCAGAACCCGCAGATACAAGTCTTTTTTTCAAAACTCGTCCGATAAGTATGCCGCTTTTACTTGACGATCCGATCTATCCGTTCACCAAATGACGACTCGTGATTCTCGAGATGAGAATCTCATCCTGACAATTGGATCCGTACGTGGACACGACAATGCGCTTCGGTGCGCAGTGGGAAGAGAGGACGAAGAGAAGAGGATATCGCGGCGCCAACGGTGGATTGGTCCTCACACTCGCGACTCGCGCCTGGTCGCCATGGCGGAGTTTAGCCATTGGATTATCTCGTCCCGACTGCGCAGCTCAGCCCCCCTTGCCACTCCTACTCCTTGCAGATGCAGCCCGCCAGACTCCACTCCTCCCCTGCCCCGCCCCCTCCTCCCCCGAGCGAAAATCAAGCCCGTTTTCCGTACCTGGTACCAGTTTTCCCTCGCCCATCAGCGTCTACATTTACCTCCACGCAGACTCCCCTTTTTATTCGCCTCTATCCGCCCGGGTGCCTCCGCCAATCGTCGGGCGTCCTTTGTTCGAATAAATAAATTTTCTCCGAACGGTATTCGGTATTCCCGAGAGGCGTTTTCTTACGCTGGATGTCTGTTGGTGAAATTTTTCGCTCGATGTTTCATCGATGGTGAACTGCACGGGATGTGATCCATTATAGGCCATCGTTTACACTGCCGCACAGTGGTTCGAGTCAATTTGAGAGGTCGGACATGAAATTTTTCACTAAAGCTGCAAATTTGGAGTTTCATTTCGTCACATTTTCAATTTCAAGGGGTGTTTATCGTGGAAAATTTCACCAGGAAACCAATGAAACCACTTTTAAAACCTGAAAGTTTTGTATAAACGGAGTTATAAGCGTTTAAAGTTTCCAAATTTTGTCCGACCTCTCCCATTGACTCGATCCACTGTGTGCCGTGCCGCGGAAGAACGCCGCATAAGCCATCAGGCGTTGCCAAATGATGAATTCTCAGGGAAATTTGTGTATACCTTTCTTCCGATTTTTCTGAGGATTTCGTCGGTAATTTGACCTGAATAGCCTGAAAATTTCATGGAAAATATTCAGAGTTTTCTGCAAAAATGAATACTTTCGCAAGGAAATTTGTCAACATTCGAATGCTGATACGGAGTTTCTAGGTTTAGGAAAGTTTTGCATTTTACTTCAGATATAGGAGCTAATATTTAGTAAATCAGATTGTATATATTGGAGTATGGAAAACTCATTTGAAGTCAGAGCATTCAGCTTTACGATTGTAAAATGTTCGTACTTGGCCTTACTTATTCGTAATCCAGATACGTTGTTTGTCAAGAAGAAACTAGGGGGTGCTTAGTTGCAGTTTGACGGAATCAGAATAAGTATACGTATTGATGCGTGTGTGCAGTGCGTACTGTACGTGGGCGTGTTGTTCTAAATTTTGCCTTCTTTTTGGAGGATAGACCACACAAGATACTACCACCTACACCCCTTCCATCCCCCCCCCTAAAAAAAAAACGAAGTGGTGATTCGTTGGTATATCATCAAATATAACGTTACTCGTCGGTACCATTTCCCTCACCAGAAATTCTTCGTAATTTGTACGAAGTTATGTTTTTAACAAATTCAAAATAACATTATATTTTACAGAACAGTTCAAACTTACAAGAAAATCCCCAAAAATTGATTAATAATAAGGTTATTTAGAGGCGCCTACACACAAATAAATTACATAATGATGATGTAATCTTCCCACTGCTCTTAAGCCATTCAAATCACCTCAGTATTGGAGTGGAACTGGATAGAATGAGTGTAAAATGATGCATTGTTAGTAGATAGTTCATCAGTGTCATGTTTGACACGAGTAAACGCCGTCACATTGCTGCAAGCAACTATTACCGCTCCGCAGCCACTGACATTGCCTACTTCAGAATTGAAGGCGAACTAGTCAGAATGAGCGCATAGCGATGCCCTTCTGCCAGTAGTCCACTAATACAATGTTTAATGATTTCGAAGGGGCGTGGTTACATTGGCGTTTATGCGTTACTGCCCGTCCAAGATTTCCGTGTTTACCTCATTTCTCCTCAAGTCACCTCTGCGGTAGAAAGTTCGCCGGTTATCGGTTAAAAAGTCATCCGGTAAAGTCACCTTAGCAGTGCTAAAAAGATTCTCTGGTCAGGGGTAAGTAACCAACGAATGGGGTTCTATTTGACGGCACGGTACCGACAAACGCCGGCCAAAAAGAATCACTTCACGCTACATCACAAGTAATGGAACAAATCGGATTTTGACAAATGAGAGAAACCAAGCGGCCCGGCGTCCGTGTAGGCCCGTAGACAAGGTAATAAGGTTCATTCTTCCGCCTTAGAAAGGCGCTTTGGTATGACATTATTATGCCGCTTCTTGTCTTGTCATTTCAAAAATAGAGTGGCTAAGAAAATATATCTACCTGACAAATTTCCGTCTCTTACCGTGCTTCGTTAAACTTGCTCGGGCTAAATTAATGCGCGGAAAAGTTTCTTGTTTTGACGTCTTCCTCTGCAGCGTCAGCTATTTTTGGCCTCCTCGAAAACACTGACTTGGAATTGGCGCAGGCACCCGCGATCTTTTCCTGTTAAAAAATCCTGGCTGTCATGTGAGGCGTCCTCTGCCGTGTTCGTCGTTGTGCATACCGCGCGCGGCGCCACCAAGTACATGCCAATTGAAAACGCAGTATCAAGATTATTTGTGCGATTGTGAAATCCAGTTCATACTCAGTCTTGATGACATAGCGAAAACGAAGAGATGACCATTGTGTCGTGTCATATTAACTTTGATCATTGGGAATTTCATCAAAAATTATTCACTTAAAATTGAAGTAAGGGAAACAAGGATCTGAATCAGAAATCAGAGAAAAATCTAATCTCATAAAATATACGTAGTAACTTGGAACGCTATCGTTGTCGATGTTAACGATGAACTGATGCCATGCCGTGTCAGCGGCTTTGATGCAGTTCTGTGGCGAGGCATGAGTGATCGATAATCGATCTTTCCCCATTTGAAGTTGGGGTGAAGAATCGATTATTAAGGTGTTCCCCTGTTATCGATCCATTTCCATAGGTTTAAATGGCAGATCAATTGACAAGTTTTGTTTCCGAACCACCCTCTTTACACCTCTTAAAATATCGGATCCTCGAACCAATTCCGGATACCCTTCGCATTCGAGAGATAACTATTCGAACACGAACGTCGGGGGGTTGCATACTCACAATTTTGAAGGCAATTTTTGATCGTCCGGTTAATAGTGCACTATTCCACCGTGCTTCTTTCAACAATAATCATCCTGTGTTTCCTCGAAGTTTTGCGTTTTGTACTTCTGCTATATTACACTGGCATTGACTCTTCACGACAGAAGGGTCCACCCCCTGTCCGCTCTGCGGTCCAGCCTCCAACAGCCCTCTCAACCAGCGGTCAATGCACCTCAGATGAGGACTGATCTTTGCTCTTCTGACGCATAGGGCGTATCCTAATTTCCACGTGAGCCCTGTTCTCCGTATAATTCAATGCTTCCGAAGCTCATGTGGAAATGAAGGTACGCCAACCTCTTCCATTCACCTCTATCTTCTTGAATTTTCGAGATTTCGCTTGGAAAATTACGGGCGGTTTTGCCGCAACGTCCCATAAAAGGATGAGTAGGTATTCACACCAGCAAACGCACACAAAAATAATTCCACTTTCCAATACACGAACTCGATGGTGAAGGGAAATGACATGAAACTGGATATTCTATAGAATCCTATGATTTTAAAGTAACACAAAATTACATTTTTACTTGTTTGTCGGGTTTTTTTTTTAAAATTTTACTTTAAGTATTCTTTTATTTGTATTTCATTTGCTCAGTATTTTAATGAATCCATATTACGCTCGAATGCAAGGCTCTGGATCTGCCACTTGCCATTTTGTCAAGGAAGATCCAGAACTTTGCCTCGAGACCCCCTCGTGTGCCAGCCTGACGACAGACTGATTGGATCGGCTTTCGTTCATCAAGCTGAAAGGCATTAATAATCAGTCTGATGTTTTCTGACCACCCCAATTCCACACTATTCACTTTGCCGCAAGCTTGGCTTAAAGTCTCTGTCAGACTAGCATCAGACCGATTTGCTTCAGAAACCAGTTTGATATATTAGTCACCTAGTATCTTGGGGATGGTATACTTAGAAACTTTTACTGTCTGGACTTTTTCCTGTCAGCTTATCTTCTTGATAGGTTGTTGAGCGACATGTCGAGGAATTTATTTGGTAAACGAGCCGATATATGGTAAACTTAATGGGTATGCTGCATCGCCCAAAGCTATCAATCATCAAGGAGATGGTTAACAGTTATCGAATGAGTAGATAAGCGTTACTGCCTGATAAATTGTCCTTTGGAAAGTTGAATTCCTGAGAGTAAAAGTTTCCAAGTGTCGCCATGGGCCCTCCTATGAGAAGAAGCTGTTTTAAGAACTATCTCTGAAAAAAAAAATTGGGTTATAAGAACCAAACGTTCGGTGTTCCATATGATCCCAAGTATTCGCTTTGTCAAACTGAATTTTCGGTTCGTGTAACCGATCGTTCGGCATATATGGCCAAACTTGGTTCGTCTGTACCCTTTAGTGCACAAGCTGGGTTACACGAACCGAAAGTTCGGTTTAACAAGTCAAAAGTTCGGTTTAACAAACCGAATATTCAATTTGACAAACCGAAAAATTCAGCTTTTCAAACCGGAAATTTAGTTTGACAAACCGAAAATTTAGTTTGACAAACCGAAAATTCAGTTTGACGAACTAAATTAGTCGGGATGATGTAGAACACCGAATTTCGGTACATAGGACCAAACTCTTTTTTCCAGTGCATTGTACGATTCCGGGCCTTCCTACGTCCGACCTACACGGAGAAAAAAACTTCGTGCATGGGACCCAAAGTTGAGGTCATGTGGATCTCTGAAGTTTTCTGATCACTTATCCGAAAACTTGAGGTCGCGCTGCCGAAGTTCGGGTCAGACATCGAGGCACTTCGGTATGTCCCGGAGTACTTCAGATGTGTGACGCGAACCCTTCGGTATAGATCGAAGTACTTCAGATGTCTGACCCGAACTTTGGCAGCTGGACCTCAAGTTTTAAGATACGTGATCCGAAAACTTCAGAGATCCATATGACCTCAACTTCGGGTCCCACGCACGAAGTTTTTTTCTCCGCGTACTTTTACTGTCTGATTTTTGTGAGGAATGGATATCTTTGGTGAAAATTAGCACGATGTATGTTTGGTTGTTGTAGAGTTCAACCTGGGTACGTGTACCAGTCGCCGTACCTGAGCGCGGCTGCGGCGGCCGCCTCTGCCACGCCTAGCGGGCTGGTCTCGATACCGCCAGCGCCGCTCTCGCACGCCGCCGCTGTAGCCGCCGCCGCCTCCCAGTTCTACGAGTACCAGAACGCCGCCGCAGCAGCCGCAGCCGCCGCCGCCTCGGCCACCGCCTCCGTCTCCAACTACCCCAGTCAGTACACCAATGGTTTTGAAACTTACCCTTACACATCAGTTGCAGGTTTGTTGCCGCCATTTAACTATTAACCCCTTGCCCACCGCTATTCTCACCTAGAGTACCTATATAGCGAGAGTATGGACAGGTGCGAAACTCCGAAAATCCATCGGGCCTTCACCGATGCCTCCGCGAACAAAGTAAAGGCCTCGATAGACGATCAAATTCCCGAACCAATTCCGATCGAAGTAGCATCAAAAAGTCGGGAGTCATCAGTCCTAAACTCATTAATTTGCTTCATTTTAAAATGAAAGCTTGTCAGAAATGTTTCCTGTGGCAGGAAATGATGAATAGTGGCACTCCGTTCTGATCTTACTTTGAACAAAAAAGTGCGGCCCGTCAAAATTTGATGGTAGATGGTGACCACCAGTCATCAGCATGTCTACTTTGATCGGAATTGGTTCGGAATTTGATCGTCTATCCAGGGCTATAAAGCGAGAGTATAGACAGGTGTGAGACTCCGAAATTCCATCTGGCCTTCACCGATGCCTCCGCGAACAAAGTTAGGGCCCAGAAATGCAGCCAACCTATGAATTTCAATTGTCCAGAGCGATTTACTAATACATTTGTTGGGAACTGTCGTTTATAAAGCGCGTATTTGGCTTAGTTTTTGCATAAATTTACTCATTTTCGTTGAAGAACGCTCATTTATGTACATTCTTGGTCATCTTGGTTAGAATTGAAATCTGCAGACTAGCAGTGAAATTTTGTGTGTTAGAAGTTGGTTAGAAGAATGGCTGCACTTTTGGGCCCTAAGCCTTCCATGAAGCGATCTGTCCATACTCTCGCTGTATAGGTACTCTATTCCCACCCGCTTCTTTGCCAAGGTTCCACTAGCAGAGGCGGATCCAGCCATTGGGCAACACCGGATTTCCTCCGCAATTTAAACCTATGCTAAATAATCGATTAATCGAATAGTCGATACATTTACATAGGGTTGAATAGAGAAAAGACAATGTTGTCGATTTGCTGGGCCCGCCAACGTGCACTGGTGAAATGAAAAATGTGAAAGATTGGAAATTCCCGTGAAATGTTTCATGAAAGTTATGAAAATTATGGAATATATTTCCAAGGGATGGGTATGCAACACGCACTAGAATACGCCAAAAAGCAAAAGCGTTTCGTTCAATTTGTTAATTTCGAAGAATTTTTTCCAATATATTTTTCTGAAATTTCATGAAATATTTCACATGAAATTTCAAGATTTCATGAAAAATTGCAACCCTGCTCATTACACCCCAACAGGTTCGGACCAGTAAACTCTCGTGTTTATTGGGAGGGAAGGTAATACAAAAATATTGATGGTTTTTTCAAGCTTGCTTACTGCGCCTGCAAATCTCTTGCGTGGCGACCTCCCTTGCACACTTGCACCGATTTTTCAGTCATGACTAGTCCCGAGGCGCAGGCCGGATGTAGACATGTCATCGTTCCCCCACGAAACAATATAAGTGCATTTCAATGCCACCAAATTTCCCATCGGAGATTGCATTCTTACCCAGAGAATCTTGGGCATTTTTGACTAAAAATTCCACTGATTTTCTTCTGACCTTGTTTAAAAAATCAGGAAAATATTATGGTCGGAAAAACACGAATAAGTTTATTTTGAGGGAAAAGAGGGGGACTCAGTGGTGCTGTGTGTGCTAAATCTGGTCCTGCTGATGCGCCTCACGAGACTCAGGCCGAACCTGTTTCAAGCTTGTCACCCCTTTTTCTTCTTCCTTACTTCTGTAATTCAAAATTTTCAAAATCGTTTTTGAGCTAAAAGTCATTCACGAGAAAGGCACTTTAGAAGCTTCAAGAAGCTTGGCACGCGTGACATAACTCAGTTTGATTGATCTAGTGTTTGAGGAAAGAAAATCTGAAATATAACGTGTGAGCTTGTGCTGAAATAAAGAGTGTATCACGGTTTTAGGAGTTACAATTCTAACTTGGTATTTTGTGTGGAATTAGAAATTCATGAGGACCGAGGTAAAAGCCTTTTGAATTGTTGGCTGCATAACGTTTGCGCACACTTTTCTTACCGATAACGTTTGCGGTTGTAGAGCCAAGACGTTCAATTTTTGAAGTGAAAAAATACGACACCTAAATACTTATGTTCAGATTTTTGTGGCACTCATAGATGCGCAGTAGGCACAAGCACACACTGCCTAAATATGGTACCTATAGGTAGGTACTGTTGAAAATTTCGCTGAATTTAAAATGATTAATCTTTGAAGCGTTTCTGGGGATTTTTTGCTCCTGAATGTACACTGAGAATAAATTTCTCGAGGCACCGACGGGAACGTCCTATTAATTTCCTCGTCGGATTTTGTTTTAGGACAGTTCGACTCTCTCTCTCGAGTAGCATGGTGCACGAAATATTGAAATAATGTTGTAATTGAATGTAATAAAATTGAAATTTCAACCATAAAACAGCCATATTTTTACATCATTTGGTGAAATGCCGATTTCAGACGATATCGGTGAGATAAATCATGTATCGACAGTGAAACTACCAAACCACGTATCTCGGTTTGCGACGTCGCAGACTTCCTGTCATACTTTATTTTTTAAATGAAAAACTACTCAACGTCCAGTCTTGAAAATTTCTGTGATTTTTCCTCTTCGTGCGGAGAAAATTCTGTGAAAATTTCAAGGAATGATATTGATTTGGTCTACTTTAAAAAAATAAAATGCGAGCGTAGATTTTTAAACACCGCAAACGAGATACGTGGTTTGGTAGTTTCACCGTCGATATGTGAGAAATCTAGCCAATTCACAAATGCAAAATATTGCGCACGGCAATAAACTATGAGAGGAGCCGAGCCCCTTCAATTAATGAACATACAACATGCGTAACATTCCGATACAATTGCAATAATTTGACATGGTAGTTGGAATTAATCGCAATCTATGCTACTTGGGTGTGGTCCCAATGGGGTTCTCATTGTAACAACCTTCCCATTGGGCCAACAGGAATCCCGACAATCTCAAAGAAGGAAGAGGAAATTACTGAGGGGAAAATTTTTCTTCATTTTTCACTTAACTATATCTTTCACCAGGAAATTACTTTTGTTGCTTTAAGAAAGTGTAGAGATAATCCTCGGAATATTTTGTTTGTTTGACACACTTTTTGCATGCATGATTTTTGTGCAACTGAGTAATTTTCGCATTGCACATAACTTTTCTCAGGTAGGTACGTAAAGTCGCCTTTGCAACAATAATTACTCTATCCCTAGAGCGGATTTTTTTTTTTTTTTTTTTTTTTTTTTTTTTTTTTGAATATTCTTTAAGGAGAAAAGAAGAAACCCCAAGAGTTTTCAGTAACCACGCTGATTAGCTTATCAGTTCAATAAAAAAGTATGGCACAAAGTCTGTCGTGCTAAACCGAGCTACTCACTTGGTTTCTATAGGTGAGACCATCTAGTTATATCGTTATATCGATGGCCAAAATGCAAAACCACATAGGTACCTCCGTTGCGACGTTTCAAAATGTTTGCTCTTATACCCTGGTAAAAATTGGCAGTAGAATCTGTGTACCAAAATACCATAGACCTAAAGCCGGCTGTTAGATTTCCAATAGCTTCTACAGCCGGCAACACAATTTCTTATAGCCTTTTATAGCCGATGGCGATTAAGCAACAGCCTGGCGATAAAGTGTATGCTAAACGTTACAAATTACGGATGCTAGGACTTAGTGAGTTTTTGGACTACCGCTCTCTTTTTAGGCCGCAGTATCTTGATTTAATTTGCGAGGAAAGCTCCGTACTTTTGAAGGATGCCTGCCATTCCTAAAATGTTGGAGCGCCTTCAATTTCGTATGATACTGTGCAATACCTCTGGTGTGAAATAGTTGCTTCAAGCGGCGCGGCGGGCGGGCAGCCAGCGCTGAACGCGCATTGGCGCCTACAAACCTAACAGGGATACTTCACGCATTGCGCAATGTTTGAAGTATCCCCTTAGGTTTGTAGGCGCCGTGGCACGCATTGTGCAATGCGTGAAGTATCCCTATTAGGTTTGTAGGCGCCAGTGCGCCGCCGCTCTGCTTTGTGTTAGGCTCTAATATTTTATCTCGCGGAGTCAGCGTTTTTCAACTCATAACTTTGAAATGTTTGCACACTCTGTATGGATTATTCTCATTTTAATTGATGAAAAAAAAATATGTAGTAAAGGAAAATATAATGTGCGTTTTGTACATATTAAGGTGATTCCGTACAAACTTAAGGATTTACAAAGCATAAGAATTTCTACACAATTTCTAATAGCCTTTTATAGCCGATGGCGAAAAAGCAACAGCCAGGCGATAAAGTGTAAAGCTCGGCGATAGAACTGTAGCCCGGCTGTATAATTTTTTATCGCTTCGTGTAGCCCGGCCGTATGATTTTTTCCACTTTCTACAGCCAGCTATATGATTTTCTATCGCCCTCTTCAGTCAGCTATAAGAACTCCTATGGTATTTTGAAACGCAGCTCCTATCGCCAATTTTTACCAGGGATGCTTAATTTTTCCACACAAAAAACGACCCAACTTCACAGCTTAAAATGTATAGGTAAATACAGAATAATCTGCTAGCAGAAAAAAAATTAGGAAGCAAGAAATTAGGTACAATGATAGTTTTCTGAAGAAAAATAAATTTTAACGGGAAGTCTGCCAAGTCGCAAACGGAAATACGTGGTTCCACACTTAGACCATCGAAAGCTTTGTATAACTGTACCTAGCCATGTCCATCAAGCAAAGGAGTAAGAATGCGACTATATCGACGCTTAGGGTCGATTTTTGCCTACCCGGGCAAATGAAGGCAAATCATGCCGAGGCGCTCTCTTGAAATACTTTTCCACGGCACAGAAATCATAGTTCGCCCGGTCCATTCAGCGCGATAAAAACAGAGCCGACGCATCAAAGTGGTTGCTTTGGAAGAGATTGATCTGAGTATGTCATTCTTTCATGTGCCTGCAATGATTTTAGAATTCTAGATTAGAGGGGCTTGGAGGACAAGGTGCAAAAGTGCAATTTATGAAAAAATCGAGGCGTTAATGATTTCGAGAAAAACTGGTCTGAAAGCATATCATGCAAAAAATTCGCTCCCAAATTCCAATGTTTAAGCCTAAGTAAAAAGTCAGTTTGAACTTTCTTTCCACCGTAAGGATCCATGTAATTTCGAAACTTTAAACACGTTTTCTCGAAATAGCAAAAACTGCACACATGCGCCTTGTCTTCCGGACCCCTCGTTTTACCGAAGTGAATGATTTATTTTCCTTCACTATAAATGGTCTAATTTTTCATCTTCCTGATGTGTTTCTGGTGCTTTCAGGAGCAGGTAGTTATGTGACTCCTTACACGTATGCAACTTTGCCACAAACTGCGACTGCTCTACCAACTGCGGCAACGGCAGCGACAGCTTTCACAGGTCTGTCACCTTACACAGCAGCTGCTGCTCAGGCAGCCAGCCTACAAGAGGCTCGACTCCAGTGATACAAACTAAGCCCGGGCACCCCTAGTTATTCATCATTTTAGTCAATATTATTTTGTTTATGCCAATTTTATACTTTAGTTAATGGAATAATATTTATTACATCATGCCTATTTCTCTCTCTTTCTCCTTCTTTCCTATCATTGAAAAAAAAAAAAAAAATATAAATCAGGCCCCCTTTTTTGGCCCTCACCCTCAAAGTCACCTCCTATCATTGAAAAAAAAAATAATAATAAAATAAATCAGGCCCCACTGTTTTCTCCTCACCTTCAACGTCACCATGAGCATGTACTTACCTACTTTTATGACCTCTTACCTACCTTTTAGTATCAATTCATTTTTGCAGCCTTTAACCCGAAAAACACACCAAATTCTAATCAGCCATTTTCTCGTCCTTTCTATTCAAAGAGTTTTGACAAGAATTTCAACTACCTACCATTTTAAGAGGGAAATTGTTAAATTTCCCCTACATTTAGTTCACAATTTGTAACCCAATGATTCTTATTGTAATTCTACTCTTGATTTCCCACCATATGTATAGATGCAAAAAGTGCTGGCACAGTAATATTTCATCTCTGCAGTTTTTGTTTGTGAAAATAGGAGAACACTAAGAATGGTTATTCACAGAATGTGATTCATCCAAGCCCATGGGATCAGCTTTGCCAAGATGCAGCACTGCTCATTTTTGCCGCAGCAAAATAACTTGTAAATCTTGCTCTCGGGTGTATATAGAAACCAAGCTTCTTGAAACAAGTAGTTTCTCTAAAAAATTTCTTACGAGGTTCAAATAGTTGAAAGAAAAACATTTAATAAAAAGTAAAGTTAAAGTGAGAGGGAAATTGAAGAGGAATCATAAGAAAAATGGAACTGTGGTGCACTAAGCAGGCTCTTTGCAGAACCTTTCTCTCTGTAGACTCTCTCCATCTATTTTGAAGGTAGATATTAAGAGCAAAGGAGAGCCAACCTACTTTCTTTGATGATGCAGGGGCCTCAAAATCCTGTGAAGCTGAGAGCTTTGATTTGAGGTGGTCTCTTGCTCACTCAAATTACTGTGAAACTGTTCTTTGACCTATCTACCAAAGTTAACTGGATTTATTTTTTTAATTCGATTTGTAAATATATAACTTGACTAATATTCAAAGGAGTAAAATATTTGTAAGTACCTACATAGTTTTTAAGATTTTTATCGTATTACAATCTAGAGTAATTTGTATCGTAAGTATCGATATTTTTGTCACTTTTTATTCTCTGTCAAATTACCCTTTGTATTTATAACATTGTACTTGTGTATCCAGGATATATATCCTGAAAAATGATCGCTATTTTACGTAATTAGCATGGTCGAAAAAATATGAAGTTAAAAACTTCTAAAAATGGTAATTTAGGTTTGTAATCCTCTTTTGAGCAAGAAGGATTTCCTCTCAGCAAAGAGATTTTGCCCAACTCTGAACAAAGCCTCTTTTTATTTAGCCTTTTCTTCTTTTCCTAAGTCTTCTCAACAATTTTTTTCACCACTGACAGAAGAAAAAAAGTCATTCCACATTCAAAAGGGCAGAAATCCTCCATGTTCCTGGAAAATTTGGAAGAGGATTTGGTACATGTCAAAATAGACCCCCGGTTCTTGAGTTTGAATGAGCATTCAAGCTTGAGAAACCCCTCACTTTTCTTGCCTTCTCTCATCGATGGTTACTTTCTGAATTATTGATATTTTATTACTTTCATATAAGCTGTTGTATCATAACTGTACTATATCTGAACTTATATTAATCTACATCATTTGAAAATAAAGTAGGCATGAATTAAATTTGAACCATAAGAAAAAAACTGAAGTATATTTAGGTGCAATCGATGTTTGCACAGTTTTGGACCTCTCTTTGTCTGATTGACGTCTGTATTGCCTCATAATTGATTATTGTGTGACAGCTGCACACCAAAGAGAAGCATAATGAATGCAAATTTTGAAAATAATTAAGTTTAACGTGTTAAATGAAATGTAATCAATTTACCTCATCTTCTTGTTTCTTCAATATTCGCTCAAAATATGAACTCTTATGAACTATTTGTAATAAGTTGACTTTCAAAAGCAATTATTTTTTCATTCTTATTGACCTATTTCTTTCTTTTTTTTATACATTTCATTATTGTTAAAAATTATTGACAAGATTGTTAGCATATTTATGTAAATCCCTTGTTTTTCATTAAGTTTCTTTCTTTATACAAACGAAAAAACAACTTAGTCTAATTTCCATGCACAAAATACATTCAATGTATTTTTATTTATCAGTCTTGCACCTAATTAGGGTACCTCATTCCTCCGTGTACTGAAATTTCTTCATATACTTCATAGTTCAAACCACGTACAAATTTTAAGTAAGTACAATCTATTCAGAAACTGTACAAGAGTCTAACGCCAGAGATTCATATACCTTATTTTTTTAAAAAAAATTAAAAGGTACCTTTCACTTACATTTTTCTATAATTAAACTTGCAGACTTCCTCTTTGAAACATTACTCAAAAAATGACTTCTATCTCGCGACAAGATAAGTAGAATACTTTAATCGATTAAGGACCTTAATTTGCTGTTTTTATGCCTGTCATAACTCAAATATCAAGAAGACTGGGTGCGGAAGCGGTTAAAGTTATCTAATGAAACTTTAGAAAAATTTATCATTGAATCTTTTGTTATTCTTCCTTTATGCATTATATTATTTTAAATGTTAAAATATTCATAATTTATCACCTTATTTTTGTAAGTTTTGATATCTAGTCTAGTAGATTGTAATTCATGGCGTAGATTTAAGATAAATTATTTTTTAACTTTCCGATATTAATTTTTAAATCAGAATGTTCTTTTTTAAACGATCCAATTTATTTTTACACGATAGTGTAACTGATAGACATGATACATATTTAATCTCTACTAGAGAACTTGAATTGAACAATTCAAAAGCAAGTCTAAAAATAAGGAGAAAGACCTCTTGTATCCTACTGACCTTTCTCATTTGTCTGATTTTTCGTAACTGCAATTGTAACGCTTTTACCGAAAAGTTCAAGTATTCGAGAACCGCTGATTAGTACTGCCTATCAATTCAAGGAGAAGTGTAATATTGCATCACTTTTGACGAATTATATTTTTTTAATGTGAGATATATTTTGATCAGAATTTAATAGAAGTTTAGCAGATTATTTTTATAAACCTTGTTAATGACAATCTTCAGTCATTTTTTAAATGTTTTTAACCAGAATGTCCCTCCTCTTCTTTGACACGCCTTTAGTTTCTCCAATCTAAACCCTCATATTGAGGTTACCTGTTGCATCTAATTAAAAACCCAATATTTTTTTAAAAAATATCTGAGCTTTGCTCAATGAAAAAAACTTTACCTATAATATCATTTAAAATTCAAATTGCCTTGTTCCGAGTAAAAAATTTGTTATGATTTAAGTTCCATAGATCTCTCATCAAGTGAAATAATCAAGCAAGTATGTAGTTTACACTTTTTGACCACTGGCTTGGGTTTTCGCTAAATTTCATTGACATCCTTTTCGGGTGGCAAAAGACTGGAAAGATAAAGAAACTATGTTTTGCAAAAATTATATGCCTTGGATTTCAGTTCAGCTATGGTTGTAATTCTAATGAGGAACCAGCAATTGAAGGGTCCTCTCATCATTATGAGCATCTTGACATTATTAAAAGGTTTTACTCTCAATGAGACTTGAATGATGGATCGAATTTTGTGCTTTGCACACTTTTGTCAATCTATTTTTAAATGTAATGATGAATAGGCATTTTACTCGATAATGTAGATATGTAATTGGAGTACAGCCTCTGATGAGTAAATAAATGATTATAAAAAGAATGTTCAAAGAGAACTTTAGAGGAAGTACCTAACAAAATTCTGATTAGAAGGGTAATGATCATTTCCTTTAAAAACTGAGTACTTTATACCTTGCATAGTCTTCTTTAAAACTATTTAAGAGTAAGAAGAGGTTGTGACCTTGGAATGAAGAAATATTACATACTTTGTTATCACAATCAATATTATTGTTGTATATTATTATCAAATTATAAGTACTTAATGAATAAATATTATAATATTATTTATATTTTGCATTGATTTTTTTATTTGACTCATCCCTAATCCTACATAAAAAAGTTAACACATCCTGATGTCAACTTAACTTCACAGTGATTACATTACCCTGCCAGATTTTAGAACATGAGTAAATAGATGTCTCTATTTTGTGCATAGAGTACAATAGAGTCGCAAAGTACTGGAGCGGCGATGAAGCCAATCCATGAACAGGCGTTTCCGAGCCGCGTGTGCTCCGAAAATAGTGAACCATTTGTGAACCCAACGGCATTTTGTAACACGGCGGCTTATGGAGAAATCAAGAACTGTTTGTGTTTTTTAGGTATTTTTTAATTCAAACAGCATTAATTTTTGCAAATTTTGCTATTTAAAGGTAGTCAAAGCCATAATGAATCTATTGATGTATATTACTCCTGGATAATATTCATATTGGGATTTAATTTCTGACTTATACCAAGTGTGAACCAACCGGCATTTCTTATCACGGCGGCTTACGGGAAAAGCAACGACTGCCTGTGTTTTTTCGGCATTTTTTAATTCCATCAATATTAATTTGTGCAAATTTTGCTATAATTAGATAGTCAAAGCCATAATGAATCCATTGATGTATATTACTCCTGGATAATATTCATACAGGGATTTAATTTCTGATTTATACCAAGTGTGAACCAACCGGCATTTTTTTACACGGTGGCTTATGGAGAAATCAACAACTGCTTGTGTTTTTTCGACTTTTTTTAATTCCATCGGTATTAATTTGTGCAAATTTTGCTTGAAATAGATATTCAAAGCCATAATGAATCCATTAATGTATGTTACTCCGAGATAATATTCATATATGGACTCAATTTCAGACTTATTACCGGCCTACTTATTTTAGCTGGTTCAGTGTGTGTCTGGCCGACGAACGGAGCCGAGTCGGGACTGTCGGGAGTGGGGAGCGCTGAGCGCGAGTCTCTGCGTATGCGTCATCGCTAGTCGCCGCACACTAGTCTCCGGAGAACTGGACAAAACAGCCTCGAAAAGTGACTTCATCGGCGATCCAGTACTTTGCGACTCTATTGTACTCTATGATTTTGTGACACAAAAAAAGTAGAAGGACCTTAAGTTGCCGTTAGATGGACAGCAAAGCAAAGAACTTGGACCTACTTCGTGACATTAGGTCCTTCTTCCTCTTCAGTATATTCATTTGTTTAAAAGAAATTTTACCAGCTTTGCCACCAACTTGAGAATTTTATGAATTCATGGTCGTTATGGAATACAATTTGCAACTAATTGCAAATACTATTGCCTTCTACACCACATGAGTGAGTTTTCAATCTGAAAAGCCAAATTTTTCGTCCAAAAAAACCAGAACGGATGTGAAATTGGGGGTTGAATAGCAAAAAACTTCACTTAGAAAAATAGCAGATATATCTTTTCTGGAACAGAAGAGGCATTTTTGGCAAGCTTGCTTTTAAACAAAATAAGTCGGTCTCATAGAAACCAATGAGTATAGGGAGGAGGTAATTGCGAGTTCAAGATTGTGAACATCTAAATTCTTTAGATAACACATGAAAATCAACTGAGATGTTGTGACCAATCATTTTTTTCAATATTTCCAATAGTAATGTGAAGCTTTGAGATTAAATTCTTGTGATCCCAGTATTTGAAAAGCATACGAACCGAAAGAGTCGAAAACAAACGAAACTAACGGAAAAAACCGAGGTA